TCCCTGGCGCACACAAAACTTCAGAACTTTGGCCCTCGGAGGGACAAAACAAACAATTTTCTCTTATCTTAGTGTCACAAACGTGACAGCTTGAAACTTCAAGCTGCTGGATGGAGACAACATCTGAGCTTCTGGTTTTGGGGAGGCTTTAACATGTACATTAATGCATTACGAGCTTAATGTTTGTTTCAATTAGCCACTGATGTTGGGAACTGAACTGTCCTTGATAATGCAATCTCACCTCTTCAATCAATCCAAGCTGAACATGAACAGGAATGTTTATAAAATTTAGTGTCCTCTCTCTTTTTTTTCCACCAAGTTTTCAACTTTGTGCCTGTTGTCATTAGTTCACAGCCAAACTGCCTGGAGAATAAACATCCAAGATGGAAATGGAAAGTATGTTTTTGTCATTTTCTGAAATAAAAAAAACTTTCCCTGGAGAGACAAGCCAGTGGGAGTGAGCAGAGTGCTGCAGCTGGATGTACAACGAGGTCACTGCCGATATGAGAGGAATCCCACGAGCAATGTCTGGGATGGCAACTTGTGGCAGCAGGCTATTTTCTCCAAAAAGAAACAAACATTTCATCCCATTAATGGGCTAATTGGCCGGGTGCACTAACCCTACACAGAAATCTTTTTAGAGACAGTGTACACATGCTACCATTATGAATTTGGGGACAGGGGAAGAAGGAGCAGGACAAAAACACACTCCAGTACTCAGTACAAAGCTTCTCTGGTTAGTTTTTCCTGTTGAAGCATCATCCAGATGTTTGCGCGTCTCATTCATGCAGTGACTGTGGGATGCCCTGCAGCAGGACACGCAGGAGTAACCTAGTGGAAGGTGCACTAATGTAAAGACCATTAATATCACAGCAGTATCAAATTTGGAACAAATCTGGAGCCAAATAATGACATAACTATCTCATGATGGAATCATGCAGTATGGCAAAAACTACACTACACCAACAACAGTAAATTCAGGTTACAAAAGAGGGCTGTATAGATGAGAACAAAGGGGAGAAACGAACAAGTCAAACAGAAATGCACCACAAAAGCTGTAAACAGACTACTACGAGGCAAACAGCAAGGGCATAAAAAATGGCCAATGTATTCAGATAAATACTCCGCATTCTAATTATAAATTCTTGCAGGTTCCTTTGGCCACTTAGAAGAGCTAAAAGGACACTCAAATCATTGCAAGCTTAGTACTTCCGGGAAAAGCTGTGGCCTGTGTCCTTGGTCTAGCGACAGATGAATTCTACGGCCAGCTACTGGATTACACACAAATACAAAAAGACTTTTTTCTGAGTAAAGTCTTTCCATTTACTGATTACTTTTTAACGCTAATATTTCGCCTCTACTTGTTCTAACATGGCGCTGACTTCAAGAGAAAGAACACCTAAAATATCCAAATCTATATATCGCAAACGGTTCTGGAATTGACTCAAACCAGGAGTTTGCTTTCAAATTTTGATCATCTACAGTTTGTAAATAATTTAGTGCTGGATGACAAAAATCACTGTTAACAGACTTTAGAAGTAATCCGCAATAAAAGCAGTACTTCCCCAGTTGTCAATGGACACACCCATTAGTTCTTCTAAGACGCAAAGTGATGGGATTTACAAAAAGAAAGCTTACCCAGAAGGTTACAATGTTTCACCCCAAAGTGCCACAACTTCACCAATCATTACATCACGGTTACC